CAGGAATCTGGGCGTCTTAATGAATTCTCAGCACTGGAAGGGAGGACCGGCATCTAAGTGAGGCAGGAGACTGACAGAGAGGGAACCCTCGAGTGTGACAAGGGGAGCAGTAATTAAAATAGCAGATTGTGATTCGGGGGTGGGGGTGGGGGTGGGGGACTGGAAGGGGGCAGACCAAGGGGCACCCAGGGAAGTGTCTGACAGAAATGATTCCCAGGGATGTTCTGGGGAGGAAAATCCATCTGGAAACAGAAAGGGAATGAAACAAGAATTTGCTGCATTATTTAAAGCTTTCCGAAGGAGGGGGCTATTCAGGAGAGAGGAGGTTAGAAGAGAGGAGAATGGAATTGCTTTACCAACGGGGATTAAAGGAATCATAAGGGCTTTTTAAAATGACTCAAGCACAGAAAAGAAAATGGGGGGGGAGGGTGCAAATAATGTAAGCTGTGAAATTAATGGCGGCCAAGATTCTTGGTTCATTCTTTAAATCTGCTTAACAGGAAAAATGAAGGAGGGCCATTGGCATGCTGGGGAGTGGTGGGGTCCTTGAAAACGCAGTTCCAGAGATCACTGGCAGAGCCGAATGTGAGGTCGGAACTGTGTCCTGGGATAGGCAGAGCTGGCCAGAAACCAGGCCCCATAGCGGCCGCAATCTGCTTACATCAAAATGCCTGCTTTCTCTCCTTTGGATTTTAGCTTCCTGAGTATTTCACTCTTTCACGGGAGACTCCACATCATGTCCAGAGTCAGCCAAGTCAAAAGATGCCCTTGCAGCAAACCATGCTGGCATTAGAAGGCCCTTTGGTGGGCGCTGTTGCTTCCTGGTTTTGTGACCTTGGGCTGTGTCTGCACCCGGCTGAGGGTCATCTGCCCTGAAGATGGAATGGGATTAAATCTGAACAAGCGGCTCTCAGTGCTGGGCCGTGCAGGTTGTGAATGAAAGCCCAGTGGGTCCAACTGCCCTGCCTCTCGCCCGTGGCTTTGGTCTACAGGACCTCCTGCATGAAGTTCCCATCCTGGAACACGCCCCTGCCCGGGATTTCTATTGCGAATTTACTAGAGAACATTTAGTGTTTAATCCTAACACCCCAGGAGAGTTAAAAGCCAGCAAATTATCAGCACCTTCTCTCTCTCACCTGACTGTCCTCCCACCAAGACACCGTACACAGCCGTCCATCAACACTCCAGCCCCACCCTTGAGGCTGGGTCTGTGGGGCCCGGCTTTCCCCCAGAGACCCCAGTGATGGTGAAGCGCTGGTAATGTAAGGGGCTAGCCTATGGCAACTACCCTGCCATGGGAGATGTGAAGAAGAGAGAAGAGACAGCCTGGAAACAGCTGGATTCCTGAGCACAGGGCAGCAGGATCCCTGTGGTAATGGGGGCGGGGGATCTGCAGGGCTCCATCAGAACCAACTCTAGGATAGAATGAGAGGGACAGCCTGGAAACAGCTGGATTCCTGAGCACAGGGCAGCAGGATCCCTGTGGTAATTCTGGCGGGGAATCTGCAGAGCTCCATCAGAACCAACTCTAGGATAGAAGGAGAGGAAGAAGCCTAACCACCCCATCCCTCTTCGGCCCCTTTGTATGTGAAGCTGGCAGTGGTGGGCGATTTCCAGGCTTGTGCTCTGCCGTGAGTCATTTACATTTGCCTGTTTCTAAATAACTGCACTAGATTTCCCCCCCTCCCACTGCCCCCCAAAAACCAGGGTTTCTCTGTGTAGCCTTGGCTGTATGGACCTTGCTCTGTAGACCAGGCTGGTCTTGAACCCAGGGATCAGCCTGCTGCCGCCTCGCTAGAGCTAGAGTTAAAGGCACGTGCCATCACCAGCGGGCGACCCCAGGTTCTCATTCCTCTTTCACAAGGGGACCTCTAACTTGACATGGAAGAAGAGGCTAGTGCCTCCCAAACCCCACAGCTCTTCACCTTTGCTCGGGTTCTTCAGAGTTTCCCTCTGCTTCGACCTCTGGTCTACCTGTACCTGAGGGTGGCCAGGAAGGAGCTCCGCACTCCATGCCCGTCACTCCAGCCTGTGATGAGAGTGTGTCATAGCCGCCAGGCCAAGGATCCTCAACTTGTATCTGCCCGTGACGGGCTCACCAGGCATCACTGTATAACTTCAGAAGAGAATTCTGCTCCCTGGAGGATGGAAGGGAGCCACATTATTGTCCAGTTCCCCAGTTTGCCAACTATTTTGTGGCAGAAGTGCCCATCCCCCACCTGACCCCTACCCTAGTGTGCCCATCCCCCACCTGACCCCTACCCTAGTGTGCCCATCCCCCACCTGACGCCCTACCCTAGTGTGCCCATCCCCCACCTGACACCCTACCCTAGTGTGCCCGCCCCCCAGAAGGCCATCTGGCTCAACTGGGATCTGCAGTCACTAGATGGGAGCCTATTACCAAATTGCAACTTGGAGCCAGTGGTTGGGTTCTCAGACCCTGTCTGCTCACGTCTACGACGGGGACAATTACAGACACCCCACGGGACTTTCAAAAGGTTAGCTAGGAACTGTAAATATGATGTTTTTGTAAACACAAATCTTAGACAAGACTGTTAGGTGTTGACTGACTGCATGGGACACATCAACTCATATCGCTTACAGATTTTCTTGGTTTTTCGAGACAGGGTTCTCTGTGTAACAACAGCCCTAGCTGTCCTGGAACTCACTTTGTAGACCAGGCTGGCCTTGAACTCACAGAGATCCACCTGCCTCTGCCTCTCAAGTGCTGGGATTGAAGGTGTGTTGGATTTTTTTTTTTTTAATGAGGCCATATTATACAGCCCAGGTTGGTTGATTTCTCCCATCTCAGCCTCCTGGTTAGCTGGGACTATAAAGCATACTCCACCATGCCCAATTCAAGGAATTATTTTTAGATACCTTACCTAGAAGTTGGAATGCAACCTCACCCTTTATTTTTTTCTATTATACCCTGGGCTAACCTCTGCCATAGCATTTATCAACCCATTTTTTAATTGTTGCTTTACATATTAATGCTCTACAGTCACCTGCTGACCTGTTCTTGACTATAGGGTGTTCATCCACTTTACAAGAAGGAATCTCCGCTCCCCACCTCCCCGGTACACAGCAGGGGACCTCAATCCACATTTGATGAATGGATGGACCGAGGCACTGGGTGGAGGGGGTGGAGCTGGTGCTGGAGATGTCAGACATGGCCACCAGGGGGCAGTCACGTTCTTCTAAGCAGGACCACTTAGTCATTGCAGAGCCCCTTCTCAGAGGCAGAGAGGGCTCTGCAAAAATTACCCTGGCTAGTACAGGCCAGAGTCTAGGGCCTGAGTTCTCTCTTTGTGTCTGGCACCAGCTCCGTACAAAGACAGGCCCTTCTACCATGATGTCCTGAGCCCTGCTTTCTGCCTGTAGCCTGAGTGCCCAACAGCCAAGAGGAATAAGCCAGGCTGCTCGCAGGACGGGACCTGATGGTCTCTGGCGGCAGGATCTGAGGGCCAGTGTACACATAGTGCATACATGAGTCCATGAGTGGCATGTCTGCTGAAATTCTCAGACCCCTTCCTGCAGATCTGGCCGTTCACACACTTTCACAAAGTGGGCCAGCACCAAACACCTGGAGGTCCCATACAGGACCAGCCCACCCGCTGACTCGCTTTGTGGCCTGGACAAGTAGCTTCTGTTCTCTGAGCCTCAGTTTCCCCCACTTATTCCATGAGGGAGGGCTTTGAAGGGCTGGAGAGACAGCTCAGCAGTTAAGAGCGGCTGGCTGTTTTTCCAGAGAACGTGGGTTTGACTCCTAGCACCCACATAGTGGCTCACAGCCATCTATAACGCTAGTTCCAGGGGATCCAACACCCTCTTCTGGCCTTCACAGGCACTGCATGCATGTGGTACACAAACATACACGCAGGCAAAACACTCATACACCCCTAAACATAAAATTTAAACGGGGAAGGGGAGAGGGGTGGTGTGGGGGGGGGGGCGGGGAGCGAGGGGGGGGCGAGGTGGACTTTGGGCTAGATGGCTAATGACTTTGATGCTGAAAATCTGTTAATGTCAAAGCACACACCCCCAAGCCGAATGCAAGGAACTATTTTGAGATTCCTCACCCAGGAGCTACGATGATGCCGCCGCCCCCCCCCCTTGCCGTTTTAGCATCCGTCTTATCCTAAGCCGACCTCTGCAGCAACACTAATCAACCTGTTCTGTAATTATTGCTTTGCACACTGACCTACGACTGACCTCTTCTCCAGGCTCCCGTGACCTCTTCTTGTCTCTGAGGTACAGACTAATTCAAGCTGGAGACCTCGGGGTAATGTTGTGACTCCTCAGCCTGGACTGGAACTCGAACCCTTTGGAGGGGCATCTGCCAGCCCTGGCTTTTTAACCTGACAAACCCCAGCCTCCCGTGGCTGGACACTGACAAACGTTTCTCGTTGAAGGCTCTTGGTGACTTTGGGAAGGCTTCTCACTCAGCTCTCTGGGTGGATGTTTACCAGGTGGAACTGTCCCCACGTGTCTCTCCTTGACCTGTTTCCCAGGCCCCTCCTCCTGCCGGCAAACCACCCAGGACCCCTTCTGGCCATCTCTGCTGCCCCAGCCGGCAGGAACAGGACCTGGGTCAGACCCGCTGGTCTGGGACTCTGACAGCCAGCAGAGTCGGAACCTCTGGCTCCCAGGGCCGCTTGGGCCCCATGCCAGCTCCCCTCTTTTCACCTCCAGGGAGGGCAGGCCAGATGACAACCCAGCAAGCACAAGCTGCTGTTGAAATGAGGGGAGAGATGTTTCTTTATAATTTTCCCCCCCTTGAAATAAACCCAGACTTAAGAACAACAGAAACACGCAAAATGTGTTTTTAGTGGAACCCAGATGGAGGGCGAAAAGCCCAGCGGGCTGTCTCCATAGAGGATTCTTGTCTCTGGAATTTTGCCCTCTCCTCCCCACCCCCTCAGGCACATCCCCTCCCAACCTCTGAGCTTTCTGGTTTGGGGTAACCCCCCACCCCCACCCCGCCGCCGCCACCGCCATCTTACTGGTGGTGTTTGAGACAGGCAGGCGATGGGAAAAGGGGGACATGGTCACCTCCTGGACACAGCTCAGCCTGGGGAGATCTATGGTTTCAGAGATCTGGGGAGTGAGGACCAAGACCAGCTCTGTCCAAACACCTGGGTCTGTCGAAATACAACAAAGAGAGTACATTAAGACATCTGAAAAAAATACTCTGAGGAATTCCACTCACCCACATGGCCCACTGCTTCTCATTACATAGCTACAGTTTTCCATATTAACATATGCAAATCCAGCCCAGTGCGTGAAGATTTAGGATACAAAGGCCTTTCCCCTCCCCCATTGGTCCGAGGATTTCCCTGTGGGGTAAAGAACTCTCACCAGTTCCATTGGGGGGCCCACTGAAACAGAAATGATGGTGCGGCTCTGGGTGAGGGCTTCAGGGAGGAAATACGGTACCGGCCCCGGTGGAAGGAAGGTGTGCTCCTTAAGTGATACCCCCCGAGGGGCCGCCATATACCAGGGGCTGATGTGGGAGCCGGAGAGGAACCATAAGGCCAAAATCGTCAGCGCTGGCCTCAGACTCTTCACGTCTTCTAGAGGTGAAGAAGAAAAGCAGAGACGATAATTAACCAGCTTGCGGAAGGGCTGGGTTTGGTCAAGGATGAGTTACCTCCGGGAACCTTAACATGGAGATAGTTGAACAGAGAGACCTGGGTGAAGTGTGGGTGAGACATGTAGAGAAAGCCAAGTTATCTGACGATAGACACGGAGGGCAGTGAGTATCCATTGAAGAAGCAAGGGGTGGGGACCATGAAGAGTTAGATGAACGAGGTCAGAAAAGTTCAGGCGGGAGGGAGACGCCGCCGCCGGGGAAAGGGACGCTCCAGAGGGCCAGTCACGGCACCAGTAAGGCCCAGAATGTGTCCTCTTGAAGCTTAATCGGGAGACCGCCGGGCCCCTGAGCAGCAGAATGGAGAAGGAAGTTAGTGGGAATCATGAGGTCAAGGGCAGCCGGTGAGCTGAGGCTGGGTCGCCGCCGCCGCTGAAGAGATGGCCCGGTCTGCCAGTGCAGAGGCTGTGGCAAAGCCTTCGGCAGGCAGGAGTTACTGCTCAGTCCCACATTCCAGCAGAGTCCAAGGCCATCCTGGGTAAGAAAATGCTCCTCTGGTTCCTGGGTGCACACCGCGTGGCGGACTCGGTAGCAGGTGCCGAGGATGCGGTCTTCCTCCCCGGGAAGAACTGCCATTCGGAAGGCCAGGCCTGCAAAGGCTCTGGGCAGGGGGCTCCGGGGCTGTGCTCTCTGGAGGTCCTTCCTGTCCCAGACTCTTGGCCTGGCATCTCGGGAGAGTGATTCCTTCTGTGGACCAAGGACCTCGACTCAGGCGGCAACCCTGGGGTCGCTGTGGCCGGGAGGGGCTGTGTGTTCGGAGCTGACGCCCAAAGATAAAAAGCAGCAGATGCCAGTGGACTTCAGAGAGGGGGGGGTTAGTTTTTAGCAGAAGGGAAGACGGGTCGTTTGGGCTCCCCAGACCATTTAGAGTCTGCTTTTCTGTTTCACATCCTTTGACCCAGAGGTCATCCCCGCCTCCATGCCCAGCCCAAGCTACCCTCCATTATAGCTCTCATTCCCCCATCTCTTTCCTCTTCCCATTTGACAGTCACCTTCTGGAGGACAGTCAGAGTCGGGTAATGGTGGAGGGAGGTGCCCAGAGGACAGGGGCTGCGCCTGACTCTCTGCCTGGCACACAGGGCATGCAGGGAGGGAGAAAGCAGACAGACTCCATTTCTCTCCTCCCTCAAGGCCTGTGGGGAAGACCTTGCTGCCAGGAGCGGGAAGGCGGGCCCACAGAGAAGGTACACAGGGCCTTTGCCAAGGCCCAGCAGTGGGCAGAAAAGCCAGCCACATCCGGGTCTGTGCTGCCAGCTCTCCTGCCTTCAGCCAGGACACTTGGTCTGAGTGTAGCCCTGTGTGTCCCCCGGGTCCCCTCACACAGGAGCCCTGATGCATATGCATGGAGGACTAGGGCCAGGAGTGGAAGGCCGTGCCGGGACAGGGGGAGTGGAGGTATTAAAACCTCACCAGCAGGCCTGTGGGAAGGTTTAACCACCCTCCTGACAGGGCTTCCACCACATCACCCTAGCCGCTCTGAGAAACTGACACATTGCCCTCCCGCTTTCCCCGAAGTCAGGGGCAGCTGAGTCCAGTGGGGGACAGAAAGCAAATGACCCGGGGGGCTCTGATTTCGGTGGAGGCTGTGGAAAGGGCCGTGGAGGGCAGACTGAGGCTGCAGCCCCAGTCTGGGAAGGTGGTTCCTGAAGGATCCATCTCCTGGTGGAATTCTGCTAACCTGGAGGGAGAAATCCGTTCTCTCTCAACGGAAAGCTCGGAGTGGCATGTCGCATCTGTCTTTTATTAATAAAAAATGAGAAAATTGAATCATTATTACTACGTAATTGTAGTTCATTTGCTAGGCCAACTCCTTCAAAGCCTGGGCGTTGGGCTGGGGCATGGGAGGGATGGGAGGGACCTTGGTATGAACTGCTGGGGAGCACCTGTGCGGGAGCCGCGACAAGCAGCTGCGAAGGGAGCCTTGCCTTCCGAGAATCTCAGAGCTTCCAGACTGTTCCAGACTGCGCCGCCGCAGCCCTGGCGCCAGCACGAGGCCAGGTGACCTTAGAGGAAGGCCCTACCCTCCTGGAAGAACCAAGTCTTTCTTTTCTTTCCTTTTAAGGAAGTCAGAGCTCATATTCCTGTGCTGTTGACTTGCACGGTTGTTCTGGGAATGGAATGGCAGCCCCCATGGACTGTTTTTCCTTCATCCACCTCTTACCTCTTACCCAGGTACACGGTGTGTTGGCCACTGTGCTCGGTGATGAGAATGCAAAAAAAAAAAAAAAAAAAAAAAAAAAAAAAAAAAAGGGTAAAATTAAAACCTTG